TAACTCGTACTTAATCCGGATCAACTGCAGTTAATTCCCGAGTTGACCCGGATCAACACTGCCGTCTGTTTATGCTTTTAGTGTCCTTACGGTGTTATCATAAAATTTCATAGCGGCCATAACAATGCAATTGGTTTATAAAAGTCTTATGTTGGATCTTTAGTCCCACAGGACTCGTTGTTGTTGGTGTTGTTGTTGTAGCGGCTACTAAGACCCCTTCGGGTCGGTTCATCCGTCAACGTGGTCGTCAATTTCAGCTAGGGAGAGGCTCAGGAAGTGTGCGACTTCCACAGGGGCTGTCCATAGAGACAGGGGCGGCAGCTGAGTGGGGTTCTCAGGGCATGTGAAGAGGTGCCGGGAGTAATGTGGCGACTCTCCACATGCCGGGCATTGGTGGGGCAGATCCTCATTTATTCTACTCAAGTAAGAGTTTAGTCTGATGCAATAGCCAGGGCGAAGTTGGGCTATTGTAGTGCGGGTCTCCCGGGCTCGTAATTCCAGCGGACTCTATCCGTTTTTAACGCAGGATAACAGTAAGAGTACTTAAAAGGCCCCAGAAGTATTAAGCGTGCCACAATATACACAATTAAGTCAGTACATTTTTAAAGATATGCAGGGATTAGTCCAAGAGAATAGCAGTGCCCGAAGCTGCAACAGTGCGGACTGTTCGGTAGGGTCAAATAACACCATACGCAATAAGGCCATATGGTATTATTTCCATTTTGTTTTGGAAATAAAACCATCTGACGCCATATCCCATCAAGAAGTGAAATAAACTCATATTCAAAATTGTACAAATAAGTAATAGTCGTAATTGAAATTACAACCGCTTCAACTAAAAATGCATGTTTGGCCACACTATTTGTGGATCACGTTTTCCCTTTTAATTGACCATTGGCGAATTTCTTTATTGTTCAGTCCGGATGTAGAAGAGAATAGTCATGTAGTTTATCAGAAACAATGGCTATAGAAGAGAATGAAATTATTAGGTATTAGCTTATTAATATTTACTTAAATTTTTTCGCAGAACAATTACTTGGTTTCTCTAGCGCCATTATTTCTATGTAATATTCTATGAATTTGTGAGTTGTATACTGTTTGTGTTTAAAAAATGTCAACTAAGCAAAAAAGTCATCGCAAAAAACAGCCATCTCAAAAAAAGCGTTATGAAATTTTAGAGGCAGTAGCGAGCGAATATGAAGAAGCAAACCAGAAGCTCTCCATAAACCAGAATGTGCTTGTACAAATAAATTTAGTCCGTTATTTCCTAAAAACTCTACGTTTATTATTATAATTTTTTAAATTTTGAAAACCACTTAGAGAAGTTAATAGTTCGAAAAATGTATTACATTTGGGACATTTCGGTTAGCTTTTTCAAGACTCTACTGTATTTCAAAAGTTTTCTATAGAAAATACATTCCGAACATTATTTACAATGTTAACTCCTGGCGGCCCACAGTGTATTATTTCCATATTCTAGAAAATATTAATTAAATTATTTTACACCGCCAAATTTCAAAACAACGTCAAAAATGTTTTTAGAAATGCCTGATAAAGACGAAACAATAACAACTACAAAATTTAAATGAAAGTGTAGGGCGGTACGTGATTTGATTTGGAAGATTACCAAGCGCAATAATATTTAAACATGTATATTTGAAACTGAATCTCAATGTCAACAACTTATGTTGGTGTTGTGTGATTTATGCAACAATTGCTAAAATACCATTTTGGTCTTATTTTTATATGTTCTTTTTAATGAATATACATTTTTGGGATTTTAGTAAACTAGGACTGAGTATTTCATGTTAAAGTGAAACGATGTTAACTTAAATCTAATTTCGGCAATTTATTAATTTCATTACACCCGCAAACTCGTTATCCGCGATTATTCGATAAATTTCTATCTCACTTTATTTTCCACTCCTCTTAAACTTTAAACAACAAAACTTTAGCTGCTGGAAAGTGCTGGTTTTGATGCAATATTCTATTTTCAAGCCTTCTAGGAATTTTATTTTCTTCGAGTAATTCATTTGCATTTGATCTCGACGCAGACAAATCTTTGTATTTTCACTTTTGAATAGAGAAAGCTTGATTCCTTACCTTTCCAATGGTACCCCATTTTTGTAAATAAAGCGAGAAATATTGATCTTATAACGGAATTTTGTTGACCCAACTTGACTTTTTTATCGATACTTACAGTTCTATAATAGGGCGGCGTGACAGTACCTTTAAATGACCAATTTTTTTGTAAAAAGCTGCGCCTATCTTATAACGTACCTTGTGAAAATTTTCATTAATCTATTTTTAATTGTTTTCGAATTACATTATTAAAAGCAGCTAGATGGGTCAAATCTTATTGTGGCCTAGGGTGGTCCAAAAACAGTAAAGTCGGAATTGTAATGCTCTCACCCCCTAGGATTGTTTTATATCGAAAAAAGTATACCCCTATTTTTTAATTTGAAATCAAAAAATATATAGAGGTCGCTCAAAGTTTTCCATGTATTTTTATATGGGAAAAAAACTTTTTCGTAGAAATGGTATAGAATTCTTGAAAGTCAATATTTTTCGATCGGAAAACTCTGGTTCTCTTCAGGAGACTTTCAATAATAATGCCCAATTCTTTATTTAACCATTTTTTAATACCAACGATTTTTTATTGGTCGCCCCATTGCATTTTTCGGGGTTTTTGTGGGTTTTTGGCGGACCGATAAATAACACTACCCACAGTGTTATGTCCGCGCCGAAGTTAAGTTTTCTGGTTCCTTGTTCCATATTGAATAAGCTTTTTTGTTCGGTTTTGTTAAAATTTATACATATATATGTATGTAAGTATGATACTGAATTATTTCAATTGATACAAATTATTACTAATAAAATTATATAAATAAACTAGCAATTACCCGGCGTGCTTCGCTGCGCCTTAAATGTATTTTTGTGTTGTAACTCTCCCCCTAAGCTCTTATGGCCTCATTTACAAAATATTTTTAAAGAACTTTATGAAGTTAGATTTAAAAAAATCGATCTATGAAGCATTGTTTATTTTTTTTTTGAGTTAATATATTTTCGAAGGTAATTAGAAAATATGTAAAGAACCGACTTTCTCTTGGAAATTTAATTTATAATCTTATAACTGGAGTCTACTATCGCACCCTTTC